ATTGGCCACTCAATCTTATTAAGGAGATGATGAAAGATTGGATATTTAAGTACAAGGGAATCATTAATGAAGGAGACAATATCAATGTCATGAAGTTTTTGAAAAGGTCAAACAAAGTGGAGACACAAGGAATGAAGATGTTCATTTATTTTTTGAGTTCAACAATGTCATTTTTAATTGTGTTGATAGATGTTGCAATAAATTAATAGATTTACGTGCTAACTATGACATTTTGAGCTCTTTTATTTGGGATGATATTAGTGTGAATAAGGTTCCTCCTTTATTTATGTCCTTGTTAAAGGAGGAATCCACTATTATGAGTCCTTGGGCTCGTAAGCTCTTCGTTGCTTTTTCTTTAAGGCAATTTTTATGCATTTTCTTCAAAAAAAATATTGGAAGCTCAAGAAGCTTCATGCAAGCCTTAAATCTAACTTTTCAAATCTGCAAAAAGAGCATGAATGCCTCAGGAACGATCATTCCACTTTGGATAGTAATTATATGGTTTTGTTAGATGAATTTGACTCTTTAAATAAGAAGCAAAATGATTTAACTGCTAAACAAGATTCCTTGAAAACATCGTATCTTGATTTACAAAATGCATTCAAGGAATTAGAAATTTTTTCATGTAAATTAAATAGTATTAAGCATGCATCTAAATTTTAATTTTTAATTTTTGAAACTACGAATAATCCTTTACAAGCTCAATTAAAAGCTTACAAAGAAAACAAAACACCTCCAACACTTGCACAGTTTCATAACACACTATCACAGCATGCATTCAAACATAAGAAGAGGTATCATAACCCACATAATTTATTAAACCCTTTCTTGGAGTTATATATTTCTCTTGTGGCATGCTAGGATACATCTCCCACACTTGCACTATCTACCGTAGAACACATTTAGTTTGAAGACCAAAATTACATAATTCATAGCATAGCATGCAAGCATTTCATCCCACATTCCATTAGATGGAACCCAAACTTATATAGGTTCCTAAATCTAACCACTAATGATTTATAAGGATGCTCTCATAGAAGGCCTCATGAGAGAATGTGGTACTTAGACAATGGATGTTCAAGGTAGATGATTAGAGATGCAAATCAATTCACTTTGATGGAGGCCAGGGAAGAAGGGAATGTGACACTTGGAGATAACACCACTAGGAGAGTGGTGGGGTCAGTTATAACTAGAAACTCAAAAAAATTTGTCATTGAAAATATTTTACTCGTAGATGGCTTAAAACATAACCTGCTCTGCATAAGATAGTTCTTTGATAAAGGCTTTAGCATTAAATTTTTATCTACCAGCTACATGATACTCTTAAATGGAAATAATGTGATGTAAGGAAAAAAATTAATAATGTTTACATGCTTGATTTAAACTGTGTTGAACTGGATGCTTCTCTTTGCCTAAAAATTATTGTTGATGAATCTTGATTATGGCATAGGAGAGTATGTTATGAAACCATGAAAAATCTTAGAAAAATTAACCAAAAAGACTTATTGACAAGCATACCCAAACTTGAGTTCACTAAGAACCACATGTTTGATGCATGTCAATTAGGAAAACAAGTCAAATCCACCTTCCACTCATTTAAGGACATTAACACTAGAAAACCTTTAGAAGTCCTTCACATGGATCTGTTTGGATCCATTAGCACTGCAAGCCTAGGAGAAAAAGTCTTTGGGTTTGTGATTATTAATGATTACTTGAGATTTACTTTTTTTTTTAAGAAAATGCAGTAAATTGCATTAAAAAAGAAAAGTGGAAAGAAAGGCAACTAGCCAAGTACAGTAGATTCCTCCTTTAAGATATTCCAAAATAAAGGAGGAACCTTATTCATAGTAGTTTCATCCCACATAATAGAGGTAATAATCCCATAGTTAGCACAAAGATCCGCTTACTTATTGGCTCCTCTATCAAAACAATTAAATATAACATTGTTAAACCCATTGCATAAAAAGAAATCATCATACCTTTGATCTCCACTAGATTTAACCTTTTGCAAATGTTTTATCACATTGACATTATCACCTTATATGATGATACCCTTGAATTTGAACATCCAATCCTTCATCATCTCTTTAATAGTAAGAGTAGCCATAAGTTCCAATGCTGAGATATCCCAATGCAAGACCGTCTTCCTTTATGATCCTGAAAAACACCTCCTAACCCAGCTTTGTATGAAGAAAGAAGGGATGCATCCACATTAACCTTCAACCAATCGGGTGGAGGAGGATACCAATGAGTATTGAACAGTCCAAAAGACTGATTAGTATTCCATATACCCGAGATTTTACAAATTCCATCCATAGAAAAAGACGCAAAGCTCAAAGCATTAGAAGCAATAATCAAGGGGTTGTCTTCACATTCATTATGAACCAACTTATTTCTTGACTTCCATGTAAAATATACCACACTACAATAAAGATTTATCATGAAAGAAGAGTTATTAGACATCCAGTTACAGCATTCAGCAAATAATTCCAGATTTGGGATAGAAAAACCCCATTTGCTAAGTTGGTTTAAAACTTCCTTCAATTTAGCACTTCTCTCCACAACAAGATCTTCATTTTCAGGTTCATTACAACCTCTAGGACAATTCTCATTCCTTAAAAGCCTTCTATATTCCAGGAATTGAGCAGTTGGAAGAGCTTCGTTGAAAATTCTCCACCACAAAAATTCAACTCTCGGGTTCAGCTTGCCTTTATGTATCCATTTCCAGAACTGCTGCCCGCATTTACCCTTCACCGTAGTTTCAAACACCATTGATGAAAGAGATTTTCCTGTATTAAAATACAGTAAATCCATCTTATGTTCCTCCATATCCTGCTGAATTTTAACTTGGGAGATCAGATTAAGCAGCTCTTTGCCCACATTATTCTTCCATTCTTCTTCATTCCAACTCCCATTGGAAATAAAATTAGAAACCATCAGATTACTGCTGTCATGAGGAATGACAAAAGTTGGCCATTTATAAAAGCTTTTATCAAAAATCCAGATGTCTTTGAATACATCAATTCCCTCTCCATTTGCAATTTTACATCTAATCAAAGGTCTTAGAGCTTTACCTCCATCCTTGATGATTTTCCATGCTGAAGAACCCGAAATTCTTGAATTATTAGACCACAAATTTCCATATTTTTAGTACAGTAATTTTTGAATTAAGGAGTCTCTGTTGTCAACATATTTCCATGCTAATTTAGCTCTCAAAGCTCCTACTTTGGATGAACAAGAGTAAAGAGATCTACCTTCCCATTTTCTATGAAGACACATAGTTTCCCAATTGATAAAGTGCATACCTTAACTGCCATTTTCTTTGTTCCAAATGAAGTTTCTACAAATATTATCTATTTCATCAAGAATACTCTTTGGAACCAAAGAGTTGGTGCATTCGAAAGTAACGTAGGCAAGAAGATTGGATTTGGTAAGTAAAATCTTACCACGTAAAGAAATCATTTTACCTCCCCAAACATTAGTCATCTTTATTGCCTTTTCAATGATGAAATGGAAATCTTCCCTTTTTAACAAAGCTAATTTGATCCCAAGATAGTAAATTTCCTTTACAACTTTGAATTCCATAAACCGAGAGATCCTCTTCTTTCTAGTTCTCTTCACATAATTTCCAAAAATCATACATGATTTAGAAGTGTTGATCCTTTGACCAGACCAACCACAAAAATTTTCCAAAATCAATTTGATTTCTTTGATAATCTTCAGATTTGTCTCAGAAAAGATAAATACATCATCATCATAGAGTAAGTGGGAGATTCTGGGTCCATTCATACTCAACCGAACCCCAATGGAATCCTCTTTAAGTTTAAAGGCATTTCATAACAATTGAGAGCAAAGGATAAAAAGAAATGGAGACAAGGGACATCCTTGTCTAAATCCACTTTTCCCACTTATCCAATCAGTGTAATTCCCATTTATTAAAATGGAGAAAGTGGAATCTCTAACACATTCCATTATCAGATTAATAAAACCTGTTGGAAAATTGAAGTACACCATAGCCATTTCTAGTGCTTGCCAACTCATAGAATCATAGGCCTGTTCCATGTTTATTTTGAAAGCAACCAGCCCTTTCTTTGATTTGGAAATTTTGAACTTATGCATAATTTCTTGAGCCACCAAAACATGATCAGATAAGGATATCCCTTTCACAAATGCAGCTTGCTCATTTGAAATGAGCTTAAGAATGCAAGAAGACAATCTATTCATTAACATCTTTGCAACTAACTTGTAGACCGAATTACACATGCTAATTGGTCTAAAGTTATTAGGAGTCAAGGGGTTGTTAATTTTAGAAATGAGAACAATAATAGTTCCTTCCATTTAGGATCTATATAAGCCATTTGAAAGAAGAAGTTAATAGCATTCCATAAATAACCTTTAATAATTTCCCAATATGCTTTAAAGAAGGAAAATGTGATGCCATCATTACCTGGGGAAATGTTGCAACCACTGCACTTGATCACCTCTTCCATCTCTTGAATAGATAAAGACTTGTTTAAAAGTTCTCTATCTCCATCTTCCAACCTTCTCCACGGAGCTGGCCAATCCATAATATTGTAATTTCTATGCCTCCATTTGTTTTTAAAAAACTGAATCGTCACTTTTTCTATTTGATGTTGATCTTCAACTATGATTCCATTCTCATCTTTGATTTTAGAAATATAATTAGAACACCTTCTTGCCGAAGCATAAGCTTGAAAAAACCTTGAGTTTCTATCTCCCTCATTCAATCATTTGACCTTTGCTCTTTGTCTCCACCAAGTATCCAACTTTGCTAGAGTAGAGTTCAAATCACCGACTTTAACATTCAATAACCAACTCTCCTCCTCAAATAGGTCACCTTCATTTGCTTCCTTAGATTGAAGGTTTTCTATAATCTTTAACAAATCTTCCTTCTGCTTAACAAGGCTAATATGTTTAGCCTTTCTCCAATAATATAGACTTTTGAGAGCTTTCTCCATTTTAAGATTCAAAATCTGTGATTAACTTCCATCAATTTTTTTCCTCCAAATGCCTTTGATCACAGCAAGCGAAGCTTTGTTGGAAGCCCAAACTTCTTCAAATATAAGAACTTTTTTTGCTGAATTCTGCACCACAAGATTTAAAACAACTAGGAAATGATCCGAAGCAACTCGAGCCAAGTGCCTCACCACCAATCTATGAGGAGAATTTAATGCAGCCGAATTTATGAAGCATCTATCAATCCTTTCTAGGATCCGATCTACACCTTTTTTGTTGTTAGACCAAGTGAATTTTGAACCCACAAAATCAACTTCATCAAAGTCATTAAGAGCTAGGAATGATTTCATCTCCTTGGGTCTAGGGGCAAACAAGAATCTTTTTCCTCCCCTCTTGTCATCTTTAGAAAGGATACAATTAAAGTCACCTCCCAACACCATTGCAAGGTCCTTTGAAGAGTACACTTCCAACCTTTCCCAATTCCTCCTCCTCTTATAAGAATCTTTATTACCATATATAGAAGCAATCCTCCAAATCCCTTTATTAGGAATATCCAAATTACCAATAATGAATTGAGAGCAGAATTCCACAATTTGAAATCTAACAAGGTTAGCCTTCCAAAGTGCAATCAAACCTCCAGATAAGCCTTCTGAAGGAACATGAAAGAAGTCCCAATCTGGACCAATCAGAAGATCCACATCCTTTCTATCAAAACTCATAACTTTAGTTTCAAGTAAACCAATGAAAAAAATCCCATGATTTTTCACCACCTCCTTCAAGTATAAAGAAGCTTTCCTCTTCCAAGCTCCTCTACAATTCCAAAACAAAATGGAAGAATTCATTGAACAAGAGGGGAAAAAGACCCCAACTTATCCCTACCTACACCATCGGCTCTCCTACTCCTAGGAGCCAAGTTAATAGGTCCAAGACCTTTAAGTTGATTGGGTCCTTTCCTTTTCAAATTTGAAGAACTACCTTTCTTCATTTCATCTTCTTTATAGTCTGTCATACTAGCTGAATCTGTTGAGTAACCAGCCATCGAAACATTTCTGCTAATAGGGTCCAGATTTTTAACATTGTCTACAATTTCTCCCTCCTCCACCAGATTGTCTAGCATATTGAATTTATTACTAAATCAATATTAGACAAATTAAGAGATACTTCATTTACCTTAGATCCAACAGCAGCATTCACCAAATTTTAATTCTGTTGAGGTTCCAAATAAGTCATTTTCAGATCCACTGAATTTCCTGGAATCATCAAGCCAACTTCTTTCCAAATCTTCTTACCATTCTTCACCATGCTTTAATTCAGATTATCTGAAAATCCACCTGCATTATAAGAGCTCTGATTTCTTTATTTCCTGAAAAACTTTTTCTGAAGCCAAAGTTTCTATATTTTTCCCATAGTCCACAAGTAACCATGGTCCATAGCCTCATTTGTCTTCTCAGCTTTCACAGATGGATCAGTTAAATTACTAGACTTTATGGTTTCCTTTTCCTGAATATCATTATTTCCAGCTGAAACATTGATCCCTCCCAATGTCTTGTCATTGCAATCTTTTTTCAAGTGACCAAGTTTTCCATAATCAAAGCAAAGGTTAGGAAGCCTTTCATATTCCAATTTTTGGAAGAATTTACCAGTACTTCCTTCAACCCATACACCAAGAGGAAGTTGAGTATCCAACTTGATATGAACTCAAATTCTTCCGAACTCCCTTCTCCCCATTGGAACATATTCCCATCAATCATGATAGGCTTTCCAATCCTTGAGGCAATTCTACAAATGTTTATTTCATCCCAACTTTGAAGAGGTAAGTTTGGCATTCTAACCCAAATAGGTGCAGTAAGACCTTTTAAAGAATTTGGGTTGAAGTTGGGAGTCCATTTGTCCATCCCAATAATTTTTCCATTGATAAAATAAGGTCCATTAGAAAGGACCATTTCCATAGTTTCTTCTTCATAAAAAGAACATAAACCCAATCCATACCGAGCATAGTAAGATGGAATTTTCCAAAAGAAGACCATTGCTTTCTTAGTTCAGTACTAACAATAGGAAAAGGCACATTGCTACCAAAGACTTTAACCACAAGAGAATATTGAAGCTTCCTGGTATTTTCAATCTCCTTGTCAGCATGAAGTTTAACAAATTCTCCATCTTTAGATAAGAAATCACCTAGATCCAAATCTACAACTTTAATGTTTGATTTCTTACTCCAAACATTAGGCTGAATAGCATTATTACTTCTTGCCGGAATAACGTTATGATCAATGCAATTTCCCAGCTCTCTTGAATTGCAGTCACGAACAAAATTCAAATCAGCTTCCTTTGCATTCTCTATTGCTTCATTGTCTTCAATATTTATCTTGTTATTCCCAGTAACCTCTTCTGAAGATAAGACGACATTATCAGGAATATAGATTCCTGTCTCAATAACAGCTACACCCGAACAATTTTTTTCCTTCCGTATTCATTCTAACATTAATCTTATTACATAAAGACGGAGATGCTTCTTCATTTGATTTTTGTTCCAGCAGAACTCCCAACTTCTTCCTTGTAATGAACCGCGACTTCACAGAATTATCTTCTTCCCACCAATTCAAGGATCTTATTCGATGAAATGAAACCTCCTTCATTAATGAAAATGCTCGATCTCTTCACAGGATTTGAAACTTGAGAAATAGCAGAAAAATCGTCACCAAATGTTGGAGGTGAATTCGTAAAAGGTCGATTTTGATTCTGAAAAACCACCGCCGGTGATCTTCGTACGTCCAGAGTACCACCGGCCATAACTGGCCGGCGGCCATCATTCGCCATTTCTGTTTAGTCAGAAATCCCGCGAATGTCAAAATTTGAAAAAGCCAAACCAGAGTTTGAATTTTCCTCAGACGTTCTCTCTGTACTTTCTCTCCAACTTGAGATTTACTTGGGTTAGATTACTATATCATTAAAGTAAATAATTTGAGGAATTTAGATCATTCTCCATTTGGATTAAGAGGAAGCTATGTTGTAAAATTTTGACAATTCACAATAATTTAGTGGAGAATTTGAGAATGAGAAATTTGAATCTTAATATAAGGAGCAAGGTATAAATCATAATGTTTAGCTCTTAGAACCCCTTAGTAGAATGGTGTTACTGAAAGAAAGAGTAGAATCTTAGTAGAAGCTGTTAGAGCCATGTTAGCTTAATACTCACTTCCTAAATACCTCTGGGTATAAGTGATGAATATAGCCTGTTATATTCTAAATATGATTAATGTTATATCCAATCTGAACTTTAATAAGAGAGTTGTTATTTGCATATGTTACATTCTTGCAACTTGTACAGTTTTGATGATTTCAAATATTATTGTTTTATATGTAATTATCTCCTAACACTTTTTAGAAGATTTGTTTTTGCTCTTGTGTGTACTAACATTTCAGGAAAATTGAACTCCAAACTATGAAGACATCAAATCAAATTCAGCATAAAATTCTTTGCAAATTGAAGCTCTAAATTATTCTTTGAATTGAGAGGGAGTGATTGTAATTGAGTGAATAAAAACACACACACACACACACTTAAGGAGATCTTACAAAATTTGTACTGATCGTACGGGACGAACCTAGTTCATACAGGACGATCAGGTCAGTTATTTTCTCGTAAGAGCAATGGAACAATTAGGAAATGAGAAAATCTTTCTAAGTCCTGATCGTCCAAGACGAAATTATTTTCGTCCCATGATGAAATTATTTTCGTCCCAGGAAGAAATTATTTTTGTCCCAGGACGAAATAAACTCTGTAAAAATTTAGTTCAGACGAAATCAATAATCATGCCAGGATGATTTCTTCTCTGTAAAAATTTGTCCAAATGAAATCTATAATCGTCCCAGGACAAATTCTTCTCTGTAAAAATTTCGTCCAAACAAAATACAAATCATCCCAGGATGAATTCTTCTCTGTAAAAATTTCATCTAGATGAAGTCCTTATCATCCCGGGACGAAGTGAATCAACACTTCACATTATGGCGGCGTTCTGCACTTTTTGGGAACCGACCTATGGAATAATTGATCGTCCAAACAAATTTAGTTTGTATGGGGCGATAATCCTGTACGAACACAATTCATACCAATATTCATTAGGATCAATTCCAATAATTTAAGTAAAATCGTCCGGGACGATCCACGATCGTACGGGACGATCCATTACGTGTTAACTTGAAAATTTTGAAGTTTTGGACGGTTTTTTTTGTCTCTCCTATATAAAGTAAAATTTTTACTGCCACCCAATCTTTTTGTTCATTGATCTTCGTGCCTATTAAAAGAAGATTCAAGGAGAGAGTGTGAGAGAGCATTCAAAGGAGGATTCCTACCACTGGAGCGTAAAGGCTTCGCTTGGTGTTCAAAGGTAAGAATCGTACTTGGACAATGGATGTTCAAGGTATATGATTAGAGATGCAAATCAATTCACTTTGATGGAGACCAGGGTAGAAGGAAATGTGACACTTGGAGATAACACCACCAAGAAAGTGGTGGGGTTAGGTATAACTAGAAACTCAAAAAAAAATTGTCATTGAAAATGTTTTACTCGTAGAGGGATTAAAACATAACCTACTCTGCATAAGACAGTTCTTTGATAAAGGCTTTAGCATTAAATTTTTATCTACCAGCTACATGATACTCTTAAATGGAAATAATGTGATGTAAGGAAAAGAATTAATAATGTTTACATGCTTGATTTAAACTATGTTGAACTTGATGCTTCTCTTTGCCTAAAAATTATTGTTGATGAATCTTGATTATGGCATAGGAGAGTATGTTATGAAACCATGAAAAAACTTAGAAAAATTAACCAAAAAGACTTATTGACAAGCATACCCAAACTTGAGTTCACTAAAAACAACATGTTAGATGCATATCAATTAGGAAAGTAAGTCAAATCCACCTTCCACTCATTTAAGGACATTAACACTAGCAAACCTTTAGAAGCCCTTCACATGGATCTATTTGGATCCATTAGCATTGCAAGCTTAGGAGAAAAAGTCTTTGGGTTTGTGATTATTAATGATTACTTGAGATTTACTTGGGTTAGATTACTATATCATAAAAGTAAATAATTTGAGGAATTTAGATCATTATCGATTTGGATTAAGAGGAAGCTATGTTGTAAAATTTTGATAATTCACAATAATATAGTGGAGAATTTGAGAATGAGAAATTCGAATCTTAATATAAGGAGCAAGCTATAAATCATAATGTTTATCTCTTAGAACCCCTTAGTAGAATGGGGTTACTAAAAGAAAGAGCAGAATCTTAGTAGAAGTCGTTAGAGCCATGTTAGCTTAATACTTACTTCCTAAATACTTATGGGTAGAAGTGGTGAATATAGCATGTTATGTTCTAAATATGATTAATGTTAGATCCAATCTAAACAAGACATCCTATGAAATTCTTAAGGGTAGTACACCCAACCTCTCTCACCTTTTTGTCTTTTGATTTAGAGTATTCATTCTAAATAATGGGAAATCTCTATTAGGAAAGTTTAACCACAAATTTGATAAAGGAATATTCCTAGTGTACTCAAATGTTGGAAATTCCTTTAGAGTTTTCAATAAAAGGACACTGGTGGTAGAGGAGACCACACATATTGTTTTTGATGAATCTCATAATTCTAAAGAGACTAGGGTGGAAGAAAAAGAAATTGTAGAAATCACCTAAGGAGTAGATTCTGTAAATATGTAGGAAAGGTGGAACCTGAAAATTCACTACATATAGAATGAAGATGATCTTCAAGTCATCCTAAAGAGCTGATCTTAGGAGACCCATCTAATGGAGTTAGAATTAGGCATGAACTTAGAAAAGAAGTAAATCACTATACCTTCTTCTCAATGATTGAACCCACCATATAAATTAAATCATACAAGAAGTGTATGTTGAATAACCCTAAAGCTTTAAAAATTCATAATTTCCTAATCATGAGTTCAAATTAAAAAATGCATTATATGAACTAAAACAAGCACCCATAGCATGGTATAAAAGGCTAAGCACATTCCTACTAGAAAAAACCTTTTTTAAGGGGAGCATAGACACCAACCTATTTCTAAAGAGGGTAGGAGATGAACTACTCCTATTTTTTTAATTTTTGTTGATGCTATTCTATGTAGATCTTCTTATAAAAATCTATGTGATGAATTTTTAAAAAATAATGAGTAAGGAACTCGAGATGAGTATGATGGGAGAATTGACCTATTTTCTTGGATTTAGTATAAGGTAGAAGGATGATGAAATTTTCTTTAATCAATCAAAATATATTAATGACATCCTTAAGAAATATGAATTGGATAAAGCCAAGCAATAAACACTCCCATGAGTTCAATTATTCAATTATATAAGGATTCAAATGGAAAATTAGTTAATTAAAAGAAATACAGGGGATAGTTAGATTACTTCATTACTTGATTGCTAATAGACATGATATTATATTTAGTGTTTATCTCTATGTAATATTTTAGATAATCCTTAGAAATCTCTTACGAACCCAAAACTTAGGAATCTGATATCCTAGGTATAGCACCTCCTTTGAAATCATATGATATTCTGATTCATATTTTGTATGATGTAATTGATAGCAAAAACACCTCTGGAATATATCAATTTAAAAGACTATTTAGTATCTTGGTCCAGTAAAAAATAATACTCAGTAGCTCTTTCTACTACTAAAGTTGAATACATAGCATTGGGAAATTGTATGGCCCAAGTTCTTTGGTTAAAGAAACAAATACTGGATTTATGATTATATGTAGGCACAATTTCAATCTTATATGATAACACTAGTGCCATATGTATTTCATATATCAATGATGACTATCGGTGATTGAATAACTATTGGTGATTGAATATGTGATCAACTGATTATCACTGGTTACAATCAACTGATGGATTTAGAGATGAATTGTGTTTTGAATTGATCAATGATTGAAGGAAATATAGTCATGTGAAGATCAATACCGAGCTATACCGAGCAATACCGAGCAATACAAAAAAATACATAGTTTTTTCCTAGAGAAAGCTCGGTATGTGCTCGGTATTGCTCGGTATAGCTCGGTATAACTCCGTATTGGTCTTCACATGATGATATTCCTCGTTATTACCAAATAATATATTGCAATACCGAGCAAAAACCGAGTTTTTTGGCGTTGGGAGGACACATCTCTACGTCAGGTGGGATGACACAATAAAAATTCCATAACTAGAGAGCCAGGTAAACTATCATGACTAAAACTACTAATCATTTATTTTAAAAATAATATAACATTTATATTTTGTAGGAGAGGGCCGCAAAAAACATTAAAAATGCCAAAAAAGGCATGCCTTTACACAATGAGAAGAATGAGTTCTATTAAAAAAAATAACAAGAGATTGTATGAACTTAATTTTTTTTATATGATAATTTCTTGGAAGTAAAATATAATATTCCTCAACTTTCATTCAGGCAATACATGATTGCCTGAAAATATGAAAAATCTATTGTATACATAAAGATGAATCTTAGTCATCTAATGAAGCCATACTAAAATGGTTTATCTTGGCTAATTTTGTAAGTAGTTGATAAGACCACTATATTGAACTCTAATTTTTTTTTTTATGTAAGCATATGCATATGATATGCTTGTCAGGAAGCACTAATGCCAAAAGATGGAAGTATTTTTTCGACAACTATGTAAGTGGTTTAAATTTCAATCGTATTAATGCCTTTAGAAATCAGTTTTGGTCAACTTGTAGCTTCCTCGCTACATACATATATTATAGAGCAATATGATCATTATCTAATATTTTT